ATTATAATTTTAAAAGTCTGCCAAGCATATTCATCCATTGGTCAGTAACAACATATTTTGTTTCAATATCTCAAGTCATTATGGCCTAAAGGTAAGAGTGGTGAGTACTAAAGCCCAGTGATGATCTGTGCTGCTGGCTGCTGTTTGGAAAGTTTCATAAGTCCTCATTTTCAGTGAGGTAATTTAGGATAGTCATTGTCTGGGGATGTTTGATTCTTGTATTGCCCAACAGAAGTGTAGGGCAGTATCCTCCTTCTTGGTCATCCTTGATATTAACCATTTTATGATAAAAATTCTCTTTTCTAGAAGGTAAATGGACTCAACGACATGGGCAATTGCAATTGATGTAAAGGTATTAGTAGTGCGTTCCCAAAAACTCCTTCGTTAAGGAAACTTGTATATTTATATATAAAGGTAATCACACATACAAACATATACGGGTCTGTGGCTAATATTAGCTATTGCTAGTTCTTCATTAATTTGCAAAAAATAGCATATTTATAAGAAATTTATCACTGCTGGACCTACTGTGTAACTACAAATATTAAATTAAACGTGAGGAAAAAATTCTTTCTCTTTTGTTTGATTACTGCCAACAGATGCTCAATGGTGTGTATAAATGTAATGCCATATGTCAGAAAAGGCAATGCAGTAGTTTTTCAGTGGTGGTAATAATGCATCTTGCTTTACTTAATATTTGTGTAATGATAGCATATGGAGGTTCCTATTGATACCACAGTATGGGGAAACTCCTCCTTTTTAAAAACAGATTCATTTCCTTTCTGTTCTGAAAGTACAGCTGAGCTCTGAATACAACTAGCACAGGGGAGAGGTAAAAAAAAAATTATTTTTTGTTCATTAATTTTGTTCTTGTCATTTCATTTACGGTATAAAGCTTTCCTTCTTAGTGAATGGAAGCCCTTTCCTTTATTTTTGCTCATGCACAAAAGTGGTTTGGGCTTCCTTGCGTTGACCTTTTGGTGTTTCAGTCTCAGTTTTATAATAAATGCTGAAATCGCAATTGTAGTTTTGTGGCAAATCTTCCCCTCTGATTTCACTTTTTTTCCTTACGTAATTAGTATGCAACTCAGCTTCCACTCCACAAATTCACACACAGTACAGAACTATCACTTCTGACATGTGTCAATGTCATACTTACAAACTAGCATTTAGCAGCAATAATGCTATCAACTGTTTCTCAGAAAAGCCCAGAAACTATTTAGAAATTTAATAATGATTTTAACAATGTATTTTGCCTAGTCTCCAGATTCCGCTTTATTAAAACCATTCAGTAACTCTGACAAGGTGGCAACAAGCCTCTGAGTTCATTTTTAGGAGAAAATGATTCACAAACAGGATAGTGACAGGGTTTTATGATTACAGATTTCACATATTCTGTTCCTTCAAAAGGGCTTATATAGATTGATAGATCTACAAAGAAAGAAATGAAAAAATGAAGGGAAGAGATATAAATAGACTTTTTCATTAGGATGAATGATGGAAGGTATTAACCCCACTACAGCAGTGTGCCTTTTACATGTCTTCTTTTTCATTCCTTTTGACCTGCTATCATCTTCCTTCTAAGTAAAAGTTAACTACAGTCTGAAATGTGGGTAAGGTGAGCAATAGCTGGAAATAAATGTTTCCTCAAGCATTATTACTGTTCAGAAAAGTGTCCATCAGCCGAAATGTCAGGCTCAAAATCCATTTAAGCACTGCACAGAGGCTAAACAGACAGCTATTATTAATTTTTAAGTCTGCCTGATGGATTTCAGACCAAGAACTGGGGTTAACTTGAGGCACTGAATATTGCAGAGTATATTTAATTAGGGAGGCTTTGACTCTCAGATGGCTGAGGATTTATTCTGTGCAAACTACTGCAAAAATATGATAGAATAACTGCATCTACCTAAGGAAAGAATCTGCTGTATCATATTAAAATGCATAAAATTGTTCTTTTGTTGCAGTTTCTTGGACTTTTATCCTAATGTAATCACCATCTACTTTTAAACTGACTGTTTTGATGCACCACTGTACTTCTCTCTGAAATAAATTTTTGTTCATTATGCTGCAAGCTAACAATGTGAATTTTTCCAGAATAAGTCCTGGTCTTCTCAGCTAATTACCAAACCATTTTCCCACTCTGCCTTACACAGATGTTTCTTCATTTAAAACATATCTGTGGGATTGCTATGAATGAGTTAACATTTGTCTTTAATGTATTTATCTATAAGCAGAGAGGACTCTAAAACACAAATGGGCATTAAGACACAAATTAGCAGAAAGTGAGATACTAAGGGGCTATTTAGTTGCTTATGATTGGATTTGGGATCTTAGAAGGGAATAAAAAAAGTAACAAATCAGAAATTATTTCCTTGCACTGGTTGTAAAATCTCCTAGATGTATCTATTCAGCTTCTTTGCTCCACTTCCACCACACCGCTCTCGCCCCTGCCCCAGGTCATCCTCCGCTAACTAAAAAAATCTATTCACACGAGAGTCTAGAAGATTATATGTAAAGGTGCAAGTGAAAATGGGAAACTTGCCCGTTCCTAGCAGTGGACATTGAGCTAAGTTACACCATACTTTCCGAGAGGAGTGCCATGATTTTCACTTGTAACAAAACACCAAATTGCTGTTGGCAGTTCTGGAAGACAAGCAGAAATTAAACATGGATCCCCGATTCCTTTGTGGAGAATGGGCACTGGGTTAGTTTTACATACTGGATCACCTTAGCACTTGATGTGTTTCATTGGTTAATAAATATGTCAGCTGTTCTCCCTTCTCAGTGATTTAAATTTACATTGGCATCATACAGCACAAAACTCTCAAAAGACAGTAGGGTGGGCTCACAGTCAGTGAGCCACAAAGTGGATCGGACCTAGGATGTCAAAGACAGACCTCGCCCCAACTCTTCTGCAGTAGACATGTTTTCTAAGGGAACAAGGCCCTTAACTTGACAATAACCCTCTTGTGAGGCCCTGAATATAAACCACATACACTCTTTAGCAGGTGACTGCATTTTCCATGAACATGTTGTATTCTTTGGTGGGAGTTTTGTCTTTCTTTCACACATGCATAAAACACAGATGTGTGAAGCACACTATAAAGGACTAAACAAAACGAACAATAATATAACATGCTTGTGTAAAAAGTGAACAGCCTGTCTTCCCAGGTACAGATATATCTGTGTTTGCTTGTTGGGTGTGCATGTACACACACTATTACTCTTTTAAAGGCACTGTAGTTTGTGTCTTCCTTATCAGTCTGCCGGCCTTCCCAATCATTTAATGAAGTCTCCCTGTTCCAAGAATTTAATTGTCTCACAAATGAGGTTTCCAGACATCTGTATGAAGCCCTAGCTACCGTCATGACTCACCACAGCCATATGGAAAGGAGTTGTCTCTGGATTTCGCCGACCAAAGACTCTGGTCGGCGAAATCTGGTTTATAGATCCCAAATTATTCAGCTGCCTTGCTGCCGCGCTATCCTCTGCTGTTACGCTGTGTTACCGATTCCTGACTAACTGGCAATTCCTAGCTTTCCAAGGGAGCACTGTCTGGGCTTTTCCTCCTCCTCAAGACCCACATTTCATGTTGCTTCTCCAAGTGTCCATACTTCTCCTTTACAACACCAGTCTTCATCCAGGCTCGTTGTGCCTTTTCACAGTACACTATGTGCACAACATGCTTATGACTCCTTCCCACTCAGTTTTATCTGAGAATCAATTTGATATATTTTCTTCCTATTAGAAATCTAAATGAAAGTGTTAAAATAGATTTGACACTAATGTCTATTGCATTATGATGGAGAACCAAACGTACAGTTTGTAGCAATGGAAAAGTATTTTGTTTATGGCCCTTCACACTGTTTTCAGTCAAAAAGTCTGCTTTTTCCATCACAGCCATGAATTACTCGAATTATGTTTTCAATAAGATTTTCCAGATATTATCAAATGCTTTCCTACAAACTGAATTATTTTTTTCTACTATATTCATTTCACCCACTAGTGCTATTCTGCGAAGAAACAAAACAACTATGTTAAGATTTATGAATAAAAGTTTATGAATAAATATTTGGTTGTGTATTGTTTATCCTATAGCCATAAAATGATATTGGCATTTGTTCCTTTTTTTTCCCCCTAGAGGTAGATATTTTACTGCTTAACTCCTCATATATGAGAGGAAGTAACTGACATGATCATGCGTTGTCCCTTTTTAAATAGACTTGTTCTTATATTCACTCCTCTTTGCTCATGCAATGTTATTCCATTCTCACTACTGCTTTTACCCATCGCTATGCTAGTCATGTCGGTATGGTGACCTTGTCAGGCAATTCTCACAATCTCTTTTCACACAGCATCCTACCAAAATGTCTGGCATATTCAGATTTTTCCAATGCCCCTTTAATGACTTTTGATAAATACTTTTTTAAAGGTGTGCACATTTTCAAACTTTTTGAACAATATGGGTATGTATATAAGGGTTTTATTGATAAAGGCAGGTTAAGCACATGGGGGTCAGCATTTTAGATGCATGGTCTAGTTACTTGTAAGTATTGAACAGGTCTATCCAATTATTGATCAGAGCGATACTGCACACTGTAAACGGCTTGATCTGTCATCTCCATTAACTTTACTGCTGATAAGACTGTCATTTGGAAAAACAGACTAAATAGCTTCAGGAGCTTTGATTCAAATTTAAATGTACATACAAAAAGACTTACATAAATATATGTGGATCACATGATTTTCAGCAGTGTGACTGGCTCATGCAAGCAGTTCACAGACCTCTATGAAGAAGTTTAGTAAGTACAATCCTGACACCTAGATAAGGTGGTAGTACCTAAACAAGCACATCTTTGAGCACAATTGGTTGTGTACATGAATGCCAGATTCTGCATTTTTAAAACTTTGTTCTTCGCCTTGGTAGTTAATGCAAGACTAAGTCTCACCCCAGGTACTGTGGCTCCAGAGATGGAGAGGTGTGTATCAGTACTTACAGCTGTCCTCCTCCTCCATGAAAATACTGATCACGTAACAGGCATACACAAATCCAATCAGCTGTATGAAAGAAGAGGAAAAGCAATCATTAGAAGACATTGAACACTTATTAAGCTTTTAGTACAACGGTATATAAATACAGGTATCATAGCTAAATTTGAAAAAGATTTGCTTCCGTTTCCTGTATTTATATGTACATTTCAGTGCAAATGGTCACAAACAGCTAAATTAAAGAGACTCTCTCTCTTTTGCTCATGTTGCGTTATATTTTAAAATCTTTTCCCAGTCCCACTGACATCAGTATTGATGAATACTACTATTGAGTAATACTGGTGGAAAACACTTGGACCTTGATGTGCAGCTATTACTTACGTTCCTTTGTTCAGTACTTCTGTTCTCACATGACTTTATCCACATGAATATGGGCCCCCTAAGCACCTAATTTACGTATTAAAAAGATAAAATATTTATTGACTGCTACAGAATTAAGTCATAGTAAAACTTGTATGGAATCCACAAGAGAGGACTTTTTGTGTTACATGAAGTGTCCCAGTGAAGAACTGTTTGGCAAAAGTTTAATTTGATATGTGAAGTGTCATGATGTAGCTGAACAGTAAAGCTGGGTCATCATTCATCAGCATCAGGAAAGACCTTATCAGAAGGCCCTATCAGTAAATCACGTTAACTGCACAAGAAATAAGCAGACTCATTTCCCCAAAGGACAACATCAGCAAAATCACGCCATTATTTTAACAGCAGCTCCCACAAAAACATCCTCCTCAACCCAGATCTGTGTCACTTGTGCCACTGAGAGGAAGGGAGTAAGATCTTTAGGATCAGGGAGTAGAAACTCCGCTCATTTGCTTTCCATATAGACAAAATATTTTCTGATGACCACCACCAAAGGAGAAGAAAATCCCACTGGGCAAGGAAACCTATTAAACTGCACTGCCCAGACATGTCCATGCTTGAGAAAATATTGTTTGTGCAGCTGTACACAATTCGTGCTATCTGAAAGCCTTGAAAAGACTGTTCATGAGAGATTTCTAAAATAAGCCAGAGATTAGTTTTAAGAAAAATCCTTTTTCTCTGGTCCATTCAAAAAAAATCTAATTAAAATAGTTCTAAGCATGTCATGGATCAACCATCTGAGAAAGAGGTAATTTAATAGTATCTAGATAGGTATAAGCTCCTTCAGAGGCACAAAAATCATTCCAACCTGCTTTCTGGTTGGGCTGCACGAGGAGCTTTTTACAAGCAGCTCCAAGAGCCTCTCTGCAGACAAAAAGCTTGTCCACACAAGGGAATTCAGGGAAGTTAAGATGAATTAACTAAAGCTGTGAAATCAATGCACATAAGATAAAGTACATTAAATCCCTGTGTGGCCTTTCCCATTCAGAAATAAAGTGGCCTTAGTTCACTATAGCTTAATCCTCCTCCAAGGGATTAATCTTCCCCATGGAGAATTAAGCTACAGTACGCTAAAGCTGAGTTCCTTGTGAATGAAAGCTGTCACAGCGCTGCGGCACAGTCCTGTTGGAGCTTCCTCTCCAGGGCATTCACCTCACTGGTGTTTCAGGAAAGTGAGTTTAATCCAACTTTCCTCTTGCTCTGAGCAGACTGCAGTGTTGGCAGGTTCCTTGGCTTTTTTGGGGGTCCAATTTACTGGGGCGGTATTTCCACAGCCTCTATCAGGTGGACACCACTTTGTTGCACTGATGCTCTGAGCCAGCTAAATGCAAACCAGCTCTGGAGGAGGTGCTCGCTGGAGATGGCTAGGACCAAGCTGTGCCTGAGCTACCAAGCCCCACTGTGCCCGGTGTCACGGTGCCTGCAGCTGGATGGGACCTAGAGCCATGGCAGGGCTGGCTGGCTCAGTGTGAGCCCACGTTTACTTGCTGAAGGCTGTGCAGGTGGGTAAGAGGAGTCCAGCCTTCCATTATTAATGAAAATGGGATCCTGTTGTTCTGCTGCCCTGCACCTCCAGGACCAGCACTGGCTTACAGACTCCTTGACAGATTAAGCACATTTTTTCCCTAAACTTCACAGTTTAGAGCACCTTTCAGGCATGACAACTGAAGCAATATGATATAAAGGCTTCCAAGGGATCAAAAAAACCAATCGTACTTGAGGTATATTGCTTGTGCCACCTGAACGTTACATACAGATTAAATAATAATTGCATTAGTACCACACAAATACCAGAAAACAGGTGGTTTTTCATGAGGGAATGTCACCTGTTTATTTACAGTATTTCCTGTTCACCATTCATGTTGTGCAATTTGACTGTGTAAGTCACTTGGGTTTGTTTCTTTTCCCTAAACATGACGGAAATATTTTGAAGAGTAAAACTGTTGAGTGAATAATGAACATGATAAAAATCAATTGTAGTACAGCTTGTGGGTTAAATGTTTGTGAAGGAAGATCAAATATTTAGATTTATTTACCATTTTCCAATCGTGTATTTCCTTCTTTTTTCTTATTATTAGTATTCTGTATTAAATTAACTTTACTTTTATAAATGAAATTCCTTCTTTATACGGACATGTGTACTCCATATCCATGCACATTATATAAAACATCTATCCACGAGGGCTTCCAGTAAATTTCTCACACATGTCTAAGATTTTGGACAGGTAGCTAAAACACGGAAAGAGACTTCCATTCTAATGTGTAATAAACCACCTGACACAAAGAAGAAAGCAACAGGGAAAAATACTCTAAGAGGTTGTATTGGGTCTGGCTGAGATGGAGTTAATTTTCCCCATAGCAGCCCTGGTAGTGCTGTGCTTTGTATTGGTAGCTAGAAAGGCGTTGATAACACACCAGTGTTTTGGCTAAGCAGTGCTCGCACAGCGTCAAGGCTGCCTCTCCAACATTCCCTCCTCACCAGTAGGCTGGGGGTGGGCAAGATCCTGGGAGGGGACACAGCCGGGACAGCTGACCCAAACTAACCAAAGGGATATGCCATACCATATGACGTCTGCTCAGCAGTGAAAGCTAAGAGAAAGGAGTGGGGATCATTCGTTATTACAACATTTGTCTTCCGGAGAACCGCTACGCATACTGCAGCCCTACTTCCTGGGAAGTGGCTGGACATCTCCTGCTGATGGGAAGTAGAGAATAAACCTATTCTTTTCCTTTGCTTCCGTGCGCAGCCTTTGCTTTATTAAACTGCCTTTATCTTGACTCACGAGTTTTTTGCCATTTTAATTTCTTCCCCCCCCGTCCTGCTGAGGAGGGGAGTGACAGAGTGGCTTGGTGGGCACCTGGCGTCCAGCCAAGGTCAACCCACTACAGAGGTCTTCCCTTCAAAAAAGTATGGGACTTGGCAAGCCTGATTGTTTTAACAGTCCTAACAGCTTACATCTTGCTCTTTCAGTAGTTCTTCTCCTTAAAGTAAATCTTTTCCCACTCTCTTCAGTGTTTGAAACAAACTTTGTCTAATCTATGACCTTCTTGCAAAATCAGCAGCCTCTCTCTGCTTCTCAGTATTTCTTTATATTTCTCAGCATTAGTAGATAAATATTCCTCAGTCAGATAGAAATCACTACCACCTGTTGTGTTTATGGCATATACTCGTTTAAAATATGCCATTTCCCCCCATCTGTTTAGTTATTAATACCAGGAGAAATAAAAAAAAAAAATTCACCCTCTCTCAACTTCATGGTCTTTTTTGGGGAAAAAGAAAGATCAGGTCTCTAATCATGCCAGAAGGTATCATAAACACCACATATTCCAAGAATATCCTTCTGTAATTCAATGGCAGAATGCACATTTCTGAAAGAATAAAGCAACAAAGAGGAAAAAGAGCCCTTTAACATCAATTGTGAAGTATTGCTGTTCAGAGGAGGACAGCAATGTTTGGCTTGTATCTAACATACTAGTAATTATAGTTGGGTAACTGATATCTACAGTACAATTAACATGAAGTGATAAAGTGGGAATATACCCTTCTACAGATGAGACCTGTTTCCAGATCCTTAAACAGAGTTACAGCCACCCATAGCGTGAACATTTTAATATATGAATTAATTAAAACCTCTTCTTTTGCTTCATTGATGGACACACTAATAAAATATTTATTCCAACAAATTACTTTTGCTATCTTGATTAACCCAGCTGCTGTTTAATTAATAATGTTATGCTCATATGAACCTATCTAGCCATCATGTTAATTGTCAATTTGCAGTGAGCTGACTGATGTGCACTGCCCGGTTTCTTGATACTGGAAATGTTGGCTATTGGCTTGGCACCAAGTGATAGACTTAAATGTGTGCTCCCTGATAACTAAAGAAAATGTGATGCAAATGAGCTGGAAGATACTTAATTTGCTCATCTTGGATTTCAGCAGTCCTTCAAAGGGACTAATGAAGTGGTCAGAACAGGATGTCCAAAGCATCAAAGGCCACTAGCACCTGAAAGTATAAATGGGAACCTCTGGCTTGATCCAGAGAGAAATTTAGATGCCAAGGTGGGCTTGTCTTGACAATGTTGAGCTTCAAGCCATGGAAACCTTCTGAAATCCCTGCACTGTTGTCATGGTTTAACCTCAGCTGGCAACTAAGGACCACATAGCTGCTTGCTCACCCCCCGTCCCAGCAGGATGGGAGGAAGAGAATTGGAAGGGTAAAAGTGAGAAAACTCGTGGGTTGAGATAAGAACAGTTTAATAATTGAAATATGATAATAATAATAATAATAATAATAATAAAAAGGAAAATAACAAAGATAGGGAAATAAACCCCAAGAAAGACAAGTGATACAAATGAAAACAATTGCTCACCACCAACCAACCAATGCCCAGCCAATCCCCGAGCAGTGGCCCCCCCAGCCAACCTTCCCCCTAGTTTACTGCTGAGCATGATGTCATATGGTGTGGAATATCCCTTTGGTCAGTTGGGGTCAGCTGTCCTGGCTGTGTCTCCTCCCAACTTTTTGTGCAGCCCCAGCCTCCTCGCTGGTGGGGTGGTGTGAGAGGCAGAAAAGGCCTTGACTCTGTGTAAACACTGCTCAGCAATAACGAAAACATCCCTGTATTATCAACACTGTTTCCAGCAC